GAGATCCCTGGATCCCCCAGAGCAATGTTCCCTCTAAGCTGAGTTAGTGTGAGCTGGCTCACAGTTTTTTAGCCTCCGGCTCACACATTTTTGTCCTAGCTCAAGAAGGATGGCTCCAGTGCAAACTAATTTATGCAGTAACCAAATTGCTTGCTCACAACCTTAATCCCAGTAGCTCACAAAGTAGAATTTTTGCTCACAAGACTCTACAGCTTAGAGGGAACATTGCCCCAGAGCCACTCCAGGCGCGGAAAGCGTCCGGATCGGCCAGAGGTGTGGCGTGCAGGGAGAAAGGCCGCGCGCGAGGTTTCACTGGAACTGCGGCTCCAGCCATTCGCGGGGCATGGACGAGATGCTCGACTTTTGCTTTCTCCGCTGCCCCCTCCCGCCCCCCGCATTTGCCTTCGAAGGCGCCGGTCCTGCCGAGCGAAGGCGAAGAGCAACTTTTCTTCCAACCGCTCAGCACCTGTTCCCAGCTGGCGGGGGTCGTATTTTGCAGCTGCGCCCCACCCCAGCATCAGCCAAGCCTCCCTTTCCCCTCTGCCCGGAGCCCCCCAACGGGTGCGCGCGCAGCCCAAACTTACCCTCCGCTGGACGAGAAGAACAAGCCAAAGCGGCAGCGCAGCGCAGCGCGGGCGACGGAAGGCAAGCGCTCCGGCAACACCTCCTCGCCCTGCCTCGCGTCTTTGGAAGCCCCCGCCCCCCGGAGCTGGAAAAGGAGAGGCCTCTGCCCTCCTTATATATAGCCAGGCGGCGGCCTTCCCCTCGCAGTGCCCTCTGCAGGAGCCGCGCTCGGGTGGGCTGGGAGACCAGGAAGGAAGAGGAGCACGAAGAGCCGGGAGGAGGAGGAACGGCTGGGGGCTACGCGGCAAAGTGAGACGCGCGAAGGAGCCGGGGAAGCGACCCGTGGCAGCCGCAGAGGCCTTTATGTTTCAGCGTGCAAAAACAATAAACGTGCTTGTTGGTTATCGGGTAGGCGGTGCCTGCGTTTTGCGTTAGGGCGGGAAGTGGTGCGGCCCGACTTCGCAGGTTTGTCCCCAGAAAGTTTCACAAAGTGTTTCCACTGCTGCAAAGAGTGTGAGACCAGCGGCACCAATTCGCTGTCACGAATCCTTCCACCATCTTTCCTTCTCGCTTTGATGAAGGGAAGGGGGTGGAGGAATCCCACGATCTCTCCGGCGTTATGGATGAGCAAAAATCCTGCAGAAACAACAGGGGCTTGGCAGAACCTCAAAGATTAACAAAAAGTTTTTGGTAATAAGCATTCATGCCGCTGGACCCTCTGCCATTACTTCTCCCTACATAATTCAGTAGAATTTTTTAGTAAAATGCCTCCTGTTAAAATATGGGTTTATATGAGTTGTTAAAATAATGCAGTGACGAAGGTAGGCAGACAGCATGATAAAGAAATTGAAAGCTATACTCCTGCAAAAGAAGAGTTATAGGAAAAGCCAGCAGGGCACAGTGGTTAGAGCAGAGGTGTTGAACTCATTTGTTACAAGGGCCGGACACTACCTCTCAGCCTCTCCTGCCTCACAGGGCTGTTGTGATGATAAAGCGGGGGAGAAGAATTTTAACTGCTTTGGGTTCAAACTGGGGAGAAAATTAGGGTAAAAAGATCTAAATCAATAAGAGCCCAGGCTATGGGCAGCATAATTTCCAAATGCTGCTTTGCCTGACAGTATGAAAACAAGGTTAGTACTCTACTCAAGCAGAATGATGAATGACCATCTCACTGACTTTTAGACGCTATAACACAAGGGGCTTTGCAGCACCATTTAAGCATTGCAATGGAATCAAGATCTTAAATTTCAATACTTTTAACACTGACATCCCAGGTACTCTTACCCCCTTTTAAATCCATGGAGGTCAACAGGCTTAGAAAGATACAAATTCTATTTTGGATTGTCCTGTTAATCAGGAATACAGAAGGTACTAAACAGTACTCCATTTAAAGTGCATTTTAACAATTACAAAAATTTGCGTGAAAATGATGCTCAAATAAAAAGTCAATCAAGGCAGATAAACAAAAACAGAGTTGTTCCAAAACAGTTACTTTATTATGTTGTCTTCTCAAAAGCACTGATAGCCGCTTCAATTTCTTCAAACACTGGCACATTTCCCGTATAGTTGTTTGTCTCTATAGTTTCTAATTTCTTCTGATAGCCAGTGGGCAAACCATTCTGCTTTGCCCCCATACAGATGACCTACACAAACAAAAGGCACAGCTGGAGTCAGAATCTACTGTTGATTTTTTAGCACCATTGATCATACATAGAAATGGTAAATAGATCAAGGGACTAGATTACGGCCCATTCACACATGCATGTACACCATCATATTTCTCTGCGTTTGATGACTGGCAGCTGAATAGGTAAACTGAATCCACCAAGATGATATGAGATATGAAATTATCTTATGAGATATAAAAATTGTCCCTAGTCCCAGACCAGTGATAACCCATTCACACATACAAATGACTGCTTGATGTTGCAAGTGATAAGCATGCTCACAGAGACCAACTTTCATACATCAAGTATGAATTCATATAAACATATTGCCGTGTATTACCACTGAGCTCAGCAAAGCTTGAAGCCTTTCTCCAGTGTGGTGTACTGTTTTGACCAGGATCTAAACAAACAAATACAACTGGAGGAAGAGCCATTTGAAGGCTCCATAATTTGCTTAGCAGAGTGGCATGAGGCAGGCCTTGATTTGCTGTGAAAAACTCATTGCGCCACGAGAGAGGCAACATGGAGTCATTTAAATCTAAATCCATTCTAAGACAAGAAGCCACTCCAAATGTTCCACGTCAAAGAATGTTTTTGTACCATCTTGCATTTTACATATGCTCAGCGATGAAACGTGTATTGTGTGTTTTCCCTGCTCTCAAATAACATTTACAGGGTGGTCTTAACCTACTGCTGCGGTGGCTCAAGTGGTTAAGACGCTGAACTGCAGGCTGTGGAAGGTCAGTAGTTCAGCAGTTCGAGACCTGGGTGCCGCATGACGGAGTGAGCTCCCGTCTCTAGTTCCAGCTCCTGCCAACCTAGCAGTTCGAAAGCAAGAAATTGCAAGTAGATAAATAGGTACCACTTCGGTGGGAAGGTAACAGCGTTCCGTGCGCCGTGGTGTTTAGTCATGCCGGCCACATGACCACGGAAACGTCTTCGGACAGCGCTGGCTCTTCAGCTTTGAAACGGAGATGAGCACCGCAACCCTAGAGTCGGATTCGACTGGCTTTCGAGCAAGGGAACCTTTACCTTAACCTACGGCCAGTTAAGTGCAGCTGCCCAGGGCCCCACACTGGTGGGTCCTAAGCACTTCCAACCCCATGGAGGCATGTAGCCAGCTTGGCAGCAGTGGCTGCTTTTTTTCCTGAAATGGGGTGGGGGGCACCACCTGCTGATCTGTTTTTTCCTGTCACACCACTAAACAAGATGCGACAGAGAAACAAAAACGGCCGCTTTCAGTCACAGTGGGTTAAAGCCAACCATTTTTTTTCCACTGCTGAAAAGGGGAGGAAACTACGAAACAGACTATGGTGGGCATCATGAGACCTGCATGGATAAAAGCCACGTGGGCTGGGGGCTGTAGTAAGGATAGGAATTAAGTGGCATTGACTGAAAAAGCTGACTGGATCCATTCCATTGAGAAGACCACCTTCCACAGAGGCCCTGTAGCTGTGCCCCATTCCCTCTTACAAACGCTGAAATGATAATAGTAGAGGGTTCTACAGCTTACTAAGCACCATTTACCATATCCTAAACAACCCTTTTAAAAAAGCCGTTCCAGTTTCTCCCATTTTCAACGCTTGCTAAAGCTATGAGAAGCAACTGAAAGAATCAGAGATTTGCAGACACCATTGCCAAAACTTGGCGTTCTAGTGAGAGAGAAGCAAAAAAAAAAGCAGAAGTATTTCTAACTGCTGCAAGAAGCGGCCCCCTCAGCATGACATGACAAAAAAAACAAAAAAAAAGAATGGACTATCATTCAGACGTTGACAACAGCAAAAAATAAATAGCCTCAAATTTAAAATAACAGTTTGGGGTTTTTTAAAAAAAATATATATATTTTTTTTTATTCGTTTTTAAACAATCATTTACCACAATAAACATCACAAGCATTGAACAAGCAACAACAAGAGGATCAAGTTGGATTATAAACTAATCATTTAGCAGTAGAAACCATTCTGACACTCTCGAACCTTCATCAGCCAATAAATAAGGGTAAGGAGTGCTGGTAACTGCACTGCCTTTGTCAATTAGGAGAACATGAGGACTAGATTAGAGCTAGATCTCAGATATAGAAGAATTCTGTGTGCATTTCATTGTATGTAAAAAGGAGAGCTAGAGTAGCTAGAAGAAAAGCCAAGAAGAGTAAGCTATATTAGTAGGAAGAAGTTCTGCCTCTGTCATATACTGCAGCCACGGAAACCACGTGCGGACAAATATTGAATAGGTCATGGCAATACCAGATCGTTGTCTTTGAAGTGAATCAGAGATTTTACACATAATAAACTGGCCCCAGACTTTGTTTTAAATATACAGATAATAGACTGAGGATAGAGGAATTAATCTAGTGGCAAGCAAGAGGATGTCCTTCTTCACAAGTTCATGAAGCACAACTGAGAAGGGGGAACTGAATCTTAGCAGTGCCGCCCTGAACAGAGGTACACCCTTCTAAGCCCACAGTGGCATGCTGGTGGAAAGGGCTGTCGAGTCACAGCCCACTTACGGCAAACCCTGTAGGATTTTCAAGACGAGAGACGCAAAGGATGGTCTGCCATTGCCTGCCTCCGGGTAGCAACCCTGGACTTCCTTCATGGCCTCCGATCCGTGTACTAAGGAAGCAAGCTATGGTGTGGCTGCAGCAGCCGCCCTGGGAAAGGAAGCAGGAAGTTGCTCAGAGGGCAGATTTGAGCTGCTTGACTTCCAAGATCAGGGGCTGCTTGACTTCCAAGATCAGGCTAGCTCGGACCATGCAGGTCAGCCAGGCCACCCAGGACTTCCTCAGGAGTTTCCCAGCCAGGTATTGACCAGGGTCAGCCCTGCTTAGCTTCTGAGATATGACAAGATTGGGCCATCCCGGCCAGGGCGCAAGAGGCTAACTGTTCGGGACAGCACCGTTAATCTTGACTGGCGGGCAACTTTCAAAACAGTAAAAGCCCCAATCTGGAGATTTAAGTGCAAGACTCAAAAAAGTCACTTTTTATTCTAACAACTTGTCTTTGCAGCTACGGTGCGTGGATGTTGGAGCCAAACGAGCGTGGGCTGTGCGTGCAGTTAAGCGTCTCCCGAGCCATTCGAGACATGCAGCAACATAGCCCAAGGCTAGGAACAGATCTTGCAGGTTCGGCTTGTTCCAAGCGTCCGACGTGCATACGGGGCAAATTAAGACGACGGGTGACTCTCTCCAGCATTGCAGGCACGCCTCCTCCGCTCTCCTTCCTTGCCTCTGTGTGGCTTCCCAACCAAGCAAACAGGAGTGGGGAGGTGTTGCAAGCTCACCTCATCTTCATGCCAGATTGGATCCTGCTCAGGTTTGGCAATGGGGAAAAACTCACTCTTCCGTGCACCACTGACAGTGACACGGCTGCAAGGAGGGCAGAGCTACATCCACTGATTTTGCTAGTAAGAAAGTACTTCAGTATTCTCCTCTGGGGTACACTGAGGGCGCCCAAGGTCCCCAAGGAGACTAGTGATGAACACAGTGTTGATTTTTATGAGTTCGTTGGGACACGTCCATCTTATTTTGCAAAAATGGAATGACAGTGTCAAAGCAGCAGTGAGAAAGCACGGAATATGGATATGACTTCCATGGACACATTTGGGCAAGATCTTTGCCATGTGAAATCAGAATACCTGCAGTAGAGTATCTTGATCGTTATGTCAAAAAATAAAGTTCTCTACTTTAGCTTGTCATAATAATAGAACTTAATAACTAAGTTCCTAGGAGTTGTGGCTCGTTGTCAGACACAGGCTACATTTTTCATTGGCTCAGTTTCCTGGAACTAATACCAAAGGATAACTCCGTTCTAGATGAGGAACAATTTTCTTCTTATCAGCTCCTGTATAAGCCTTTCTCTCGTGCAATCCTAAAAAGAGTTACACCCTTCTAAGCCCATTCGCTTCAATGGACTTAGAAGGGCGTTACTCTGTTTAGGACTGGACTGTTAGGATTACAAAGAATACTTACTTTCTTGTAGTGCGGAGAAGGAAGATTAGCAACATAGGCATTCATCTGATAACTTCGACATCTTAATGTTTTCCCTTCTTGAGTGCTGATGTTAATTTCTATCGGGGCATAAAGACTACCTTCAACTCCCTCTTGTCTGAAAGAGAAGACACACCTTTCATATCAAATCAAACCATGAAAACAAATACAATAATTTATCTATTTAAAGTGTTTAGTGAGCATCATGCAATATGTGACAAAAAAAAGTGTTTAACAGTATCTTTGCCAGCAATTTTTAATGCTTAGAATGCCAGCCAACACCTATGTTTATGCAACCAGGCTGTGTCTCTCAACAGCAGCGTTATGTGCTGCCAGTGGCAAAATTTAGCATTAAACTGGAAGTGGAAGAGGAATAAAGTTATGCAATAATTTATAGAGAGAGCAGCTGATTAGCACTCTGCCACCTCTGATGACCAATGCTCCCTCTAAGCTGTGAAGTCGTGTGAGCAAAACTTCTGCTTTGTGAGCTACTGGCATTAAAGCTGTAAGGAGCAATTTGGCTACTGCATAAATTAGTTTGCTCTGGAGCCATCCTTCCTGAGCTAAGACAAAAGTGTGTGAGCCGGAGGCTAAAAAACTGTGAGCTAGCTCACATTTACTCAGCTTAGAGGGAACACTGCTGATGATCCTGTTAGTTCCCTAATCTCCTGTGTGGAAACAGAAAGGATCAATGAAGTGTTCATATGCTGGTGGTCTGGGTGTATACTGTTTGTACATGTACATCACACTAAAAAACCCCACAAAACTGATTTTAACAATAGAAGCTAGTCAGTTCAAGATAGGAGTCACAAGACACGGGCCACTAATGATACCGCCCTTGCCAGAAGGAACTACTATCTCCTACAGACCTTTCACTTCCTAGTTCAGCACATCCCAAATTATCCACAAGAACACACAGATGCACATACTCAGACCTGTGATGTGCTGATATACCTCCCTAGATCAGTGGTGCCCAACTTGGTGCTTCTGATGGATTCCCAGGGGGGACGTTAGCTTCTTCCTCAGAGCGAGTTTGGTGTAGTGGTTAAGTGCACGGACTCTAATCTGGGAGAACCTGGTTTGATTCCCCACTCCTCCGCTTGCACCTGGCTGGATGACCTTGGGCAAGCCATAACTCTGGCACAGCTGTTCTTGAAAAAGAGCAGTTTCTGTCAAGAGCTCTCTCAGCCCCACCTACCTCACAGGGTGTCTGTTGTGGGGAGGGGAAGGGAAAGGAGTTTGTAAGCCGCTCTGAGACACCTTTGGGTAGTGAAGGGGGGGGGGGTATAAATCCAATCTCTTCTTCTTCTTCACATTGACAGTCCTGGCTTTTCTCCATCACATTGGAGTAGGATGCATTTCATAAGAAACTAGAAGGAATCGCCTTTGTGTCTGCAGGAAGCACCCACTTTGAAACAGCTGTCTCTACTGTAGAAAGAAGCTTGGCTTGCAACCTCCCAGTATTTTCTGATTGGCCCAAGCAGTCCCTGGCAGCCTTTTTGAAATTGGCCCTGGCCCCCATGGCAGCCGTTGTGTGATTCTAAAAACTCTGGAACCACCTGCAGGCTCAACATGATTGAGGACTCCAACCCTAGACTATTTATCAGAACACCTATTCAGCACTAGGATCAGCTCTGCAGAAACAAATCACTCAGTCAGATTTGCAATAGTCCTAACACTTAAATGTATGCATACACAGACCAAGTCATTCTGGCACAAGAAAGCAGTGCCAGCATGCCAAACAAGGGTGGTAGCTCAGAACCTCTGCAGCAGGAAGAAGAAGAAGAGAAGAGATTGGATTTATACCCCGCCCTTCACTACCCAAAGGTGTCTCAGAGCGGTTTACAAACTCCTTTCCCTCCCCCTCTCCACAACAGACACCCTGTGAGGTGGGTGGGGCTGAGAGAGCTCTGACAGAAACTGCTCTTTTTCAAGGACAGCTGTTATCAGAACTATGGCTTGCCCAAGGTCATCCAGCAGATGCAAGTGGAGGAGTGGGGAATCAAAGCGGGTTCTCCCAGATTAGGGTCCTTGCACTTAACCACTACACCAAACTGGCCTTTAACAGAGTCCATCCCATCGCTCCACCACTGCTGCCAATGAAAAGTATCACGTGGAAGCACACAGAAAAGACCCCTTTTTATGAAACAAAATTCCTTATGCCGCCCTTGTACCCTACGCCTCTTGCAGCAAAAATCCAAGAGGAAACCCAGCTCTAATTAAATTACGCTCTGCGACAGATTACGATGCTATTTCTATTATTTTTTTAAGTGAAGCAGTGAGATTTAATCGTTAGAACTTGCAGCAGGTCCTCTCCTCTTTGCCGCTCTTGTTCCACCAATATTCAAATGTTAACCTATAAACTTCTATTTTGATGGTACCTGACCCCACATCAGCTGCATGGCATCAACCCCGCGATCCCTGACAGATGTTGGAAAAACTGTGGCGGCTGAGGCACCTATATTCATTGTTGGTGGGAGTGTCCCAAGGTCCGCCCAAATATTTCTAATTACAGGTTGCGCCCTCCAACTGCAACCCTCCTTGTTCCTCCTGAATTATTGGCGCCATCCCGCCCCCAATGGGCTTATGAAAGAGCTAATAGAATTATGTCTTGCGGCTGCTAGGAATGTTATAGCATTTCATTGGGAATCTAAGAAGACGCTGCTACTGAGCGATTGGTATCTGAAGTTGTGGGACTTTTTTCTACAGGACAAAGTTTCCACTAGTATCCTTCGATCTGAAAATCAACCTGTCCCTGACAACCTCCAAGAAAAATGGATGCCCCTCTTAGAAGCGTCAGCAGCACATAAAATCGACACTTCCCTGTTTGCTCTGCATAAACATCAGGATTTGCTTTCCTATTTTTAACTGTTCTTTTAAAATAAAATTAAATTAAAAAAAAAGAACTTGCAGCAAGATTTTATAAAATTATATTATAATTTCTGTTTTGCAGCTTTAAATTGGGAGGGGAAGTGGCATGGGATAGCCCGGTCTCGGAAGCGAAGCAGGATCAGTACCTGGAAGGGAGACCTCCAAAGAAAACCCTGCAGAGGCAGGCCATGGCAGACCACCTCTGCTTCTCCCTTGCCTTGAAAGCCGCTTGCTGGGGTCGCCATAAGTCAGCTGTGACTTGACGGCACTCTACACTCGCGCACACACACAACTTTAAGTGAATATTACGAAGTTAGCACTTCAGATCCATGCCACCTTTTCCCCACACTAAAATGGTTTTTAAGCAGCCTTCTAGTTTTGACCATTGTTTTAGCAAAGAATTGACACCTGACAACAAAACACGCGGAACGCGACCATTAAGAATGCAGGGCTCATTTAATAAGCTGCCAGGAGCCTGTGTGGTGTAGTGATTCGAGTGTCCAGTTAAGGTCTGGGAGACCCAGGCTCGAATCCCCACTCTGTGATGGAAGCTTGGTGGGTGACCTTAGGTCAATGTTACACGCGCTTAGCCTGACCTATCTCGCAGGATCATTGTGAGGATAAAATGGAGGAGACAAGAATAATGGAAGCCAGCCTTGAAATAACGAATGGAATGAAGAAATGTGCCACCATAACCCCAACTTACTTGTCCAGAGAACTTAAATCACGACTGTTCATCAGCCACACTATGCCCCAGACTTCATCACCAGGGCTGTGCAGAATAGTAGCTGTACTTCCATGCCAAGTCAAACTCTGTTTACCTTGAGGAGAGCCAAAAGCAAGCTTGTGATCCTGTGAATTAAATAAGAGAAATCATTAGTCTGCACCTATTTATTTACTGGCTTTGTTTCAATCCCACTCTTTTACTCAGCATTCCAGCTGTCTTACAATATTACGAACAGTACAAGAGACAGAACAAAGTTTGAGTCCGGTGGCACCTTTAAGACCAAAAAGTTTTATTCAAGGTGTGAGCTTTCGTGTCCATGCACACTTCTTCAGATACAGTGAAATAGAAGTTACCGGTCTGTAAATATAGGTAGAGGGTGAATAGAACATCACAAAGTGGCAACACATGGATACCTTTCTGGTCTTTCTATCATTCAATTAATTGAAACAAAGTTCACGAAGGATCAGCTGAATACCAGAGGACAGAAAAATTACTTCCCTTGTCATGTGCCTAACAGTTTCAATTGGGTAACTGACCAAATACAAATAATGAGTTAAATGAAAGATATAAAATAATAATATACTTTGGCTGCATCCACACAGCCACGGTTTTTCATGTTGCTCTCTGTTGCCCCTGCAAATGCAGAGGCATTCTCTGTGGCAATGGAGGGATCCACATGGCAGTTTCCCTCACATTTTCCTTGTCCCTGCCCCCCCGTGTCCACCATTCCTCCCCATCCAGTGCCACTGGAGGGCCTTTTCAGCCTTAAAAATATCTGAGTAATTAATGTATAGTTATAGCATTAAGCAACAGTCAGTTACCAATTTTAAACTAGTGCAACATGTCTGTTACTTATTTTTTAAAAGCCCCCCCCCCCCGCCAAATTCCACTGGCATGGGGGAAATGGCGGTTGTGGGGGTGAGGAAAATGGGATAGATGTGGGCAGAACTGGCCAGGATACCAACCTTCCTGTCCACACAGCATTCAAAGGTGATTTGACTGTGATCTTCCCTAAAAGATCACATCAAATCAGGCTTGGTAAATAATGGAAGCAAAGCAGGGGAAAACATGAATAGTGAACAATTAGGGGTCAGCTTCATGTGGACGCTAAAAAATCAAAAGGAAACAAAAAGAAATCCACTCCAGTCTGAATGCCAAACTGGAGCAAAACCTCTGTGTGGACTGGAAGCAACCTTCAGCTTTACCAGAAACGAGCTACATTCTAAGATCCCAACGCTGATTCAGAACCCACACTTGGTAGTCTCCAGGCAAGCTAGTAACAGTTGTGCTGTTGCCCTCTTGGAGCCAACATACTCCATTTTCAAATCCCAAATCAGAAAAAGACTGTATCTTATTAACTACTTTCACTATAATAAGAACTGCAGAAAGATCAATAGGATCAAAGGTAACCTTATATATTTACTAGACTTTTATCTCATCCTTTTTCCAAGAAGCCCAGAAGCACCTCGTTTGTTAGACATACATTTGTTCATGATGACACATCTCCCACATATGGCAGTCTCAACTTAAGTAGAGAACAAGTGTCTTCAGCATATGTAAAAAGAAAAACCAAGGCAGGACCAACCTGTAACTTTGCTACGGCATGAAAAGCTGCAGATGGGTTTTTCAATGTTATCCTCTCCCGCAACAAGTTACTGCCATAGGCAAAGTAGAGGAAATGCTCTTCCTTAGAGTTACAGTCTCCCTGGCTGCCACCTGATCCAGCACAAGTACAGTTCTTGAAGGTTTCCATCGACCAGTATGGAACTCTGTGGAAAGGAAAGCGCAGTCTTACATTTGTTTGTTAGGGCAGGAGTTGGACCATGAAAATACCGCTGAGCTGTTCTTTCAGAGTGCCTCCGCATTCACCTTTGTTCAGGCCCTTAATGAATGGAATATTTCTCCCTGCTGTTTTGCTGATGTTTTGCAAATTTCTTGTCCCTTGGAGGAGTTTCTCTCCACCTGCTTCCCCCTGGGAAGAAAACAACCTAATAATGACCCTCAAAACTATGCATGTACAAAAAGCTCTCTCTTAGAACAGCAGCTATACTGGAGAAAAGGAGTTTTGCAGAATCTAAAGCAAAGCGTATCCCTGCAGTGAAAAAGGAGGCAAGCTAAAGACTGGGGAGGTTGTTCTGCAACAGTGCAAAGCAGTTTTGTCTGTGTGCAAGAGAGAATGGGAAAAGTGTTCCTTTCTAAGATGAAGCACACCTCTGCCCAGACTAACATGGGCACTGCAGATCATCCCTATAGTATGCATTGCAGATTTCTTGTTACTGGTAGAAGAAGAAGAGAAGAAGAGATTGGATTTATACCCTGCCCTTCACTACCCAAAGGTGTCTCAGAGCAGCTTACAAACTCCTTTCCCTTCCCCTCCCCACAACAGACACCCTGTGAGGTGGGTGGGGCTGAGAGAACTCTGACACAAACTGCTCTTTTCCAAGGACAGCTGTGCCAGAGCTTGTGACTGACCCAAGGTCACATCAGCAGGTGCAAGTGGAGGAGTGGGGAATCAAACCCGGTTCTCCCAGATTAGAGTCCGCACACTTAACCACTACACCAAACTGGCTCTCAGAGCAATAGGTATTTGGAAGAGAAGCAATAGGTATTTGGAATAGGTACAGAGCAATAGGTATTTGGAAGATAAGTACTTTCCTATGGAGATGTGCAGCTCATATGAATAGGCCCAAAGAACTGCTTCCTAATCAGACGATCTATCCAGTTGGTCAGCTGCGTTCATCTGAAGCAGTAGAAAACAGTTAAGAGTCCAGTGGCACCTTTAAGACCAACAAAGGTTTATTCAAGATATGAGCATTCATGTGCAAGGCACACTTTTTCAAATATTTGAAAAAGTGTGCCTTGCACATGAAAGCAACCAGTAAAGGAACCACTAAGTACATTTCCCTGGGTGTTTGGTTTTTTTGGAGGGGGAGAAAGGGAACATCGCCATTACTTTAATTTCACCAATTTCAAGTTGTCAATGTAAACATGTCGTACGCATATTTGGCACTTGTTTCAGGCAGTCAGTGTACACTTGCACAATGTCTAGGACCAGAATGATCAACAACCTTTTAAGAATTCTCACCCCCACCATTCCATTATATGTCCTTTATTTTAAGTTTCAGAAATATACAAATTCTATCACATGCCCTCAAGAGCTGCCCTTCTGAATGCAAACAAAACCTACCAATTCTCAAGGGAGGGTCTTCTCCCACACAGCTTCACCTGGACCACCCCACTTTTTAAGACTGGGCACAGAGGAATCTTCTGATGGCTCTGTCTTCAATCACAAGCTACCCTGGAGAGGATTTTCTCAGTAGCAGCCCAGTAAATTACAAACCTTTTGCTTTAGCGAGGGCTGTCATATTTGGGGCTAGTTTATTCACTCAAGCCAGAATATGTGCCTATTTATTTGGCGTGTACTAGCTCCCTCTCCCCCTTTACTTATCATCTCCTTTAGACAGTTGGGTTGAAATGCTGATCATATTAAATTTTTGCTCAACCATTTAGAATTATTATAAATAACAGGCAATACTTTTTCTACACAAATAAATTCTGCCATACCTCTTCTATTTAGACCCCCTTCCACATGCCCTGTATCCTGAAAGCTACGAATTCCTCTCCAAGATGTCCCGCTTTCAGCCCCCTCCCGAAGAGACCCCCAGGTTATCCTTCCAAGAAAGCATCTTCCCCTTACAGTATGCAGCCCCTTCCCCACCCCCCTTAACTCGGGGCCTTGGTCATGTGGGGCCAAGAAGCCCAGGCAGACAGCAGCACCCCCGTTCTCGGACTCCCCTCCCCCCCACTGAGCCCCGACCTACAGCCTCCAGCTCCCGTTCACCTTTTCCTTCCTCGCGGTAGCAACCACGGCTGACCTCGCACAAAGAGCAAGCAGCAAACCGTGCAGTCGGTGGCGGCGATGATCATTGGCTGAGAATGTTTCAGCTGCCGCGGCCGACGCTTCTGATTGGCCGAAGGTCCCGCCGCAGTCCTTCCCCTTTCTCTTTGAGGTGGCGGGTCAGTTTACAGGCAGGTTCAGGCGCTTTGAAGTTTCCACTGATTGCTGCTGAGTAGCTACGTGTTAAATTGGGACTGCTCAGGTGCGCTGGGGCGGGCAAAGCTAGACCTAGACCACAGAATAATTCATATTATTTAACATAACGCTGCCTGGGCACAGTCCTCCTATGCATGTTCACTTGAAAGTAAGCCCCACAAAATTCATGTGGGGACCTGTGTTGATCTGAAGCAGCACAACAAAGTTTGAGTCCAGAGACACCTTTAAGACCAACAAAGTTTTATTCAAAGTATAAGCTTTCGTGTACACCCGCACTTCTTCAGATACAGTGGGGGGAAATTTCTTCAACCATTACATATAGGTAAGAAGGGCTAGTTAGAGTCAAGATGCCATTATATCTGAGATTGGATTAAGGCAGTTGGTTAGATCTGTGAATAGCAGTAAATTACTATACAAATACAAGAGTTAAACAGATGTGAGAACCAAGTTTGAGTCCAGTGGCACCTCCAAGACCAACCAAGTTCAATTCCGGGTATTAGCGAGAACTGAAAGACTTAGCATGTGTAGATGCACACTCCTTCAGATACAAAGAAACAGATTTCCTCAAATGTTACATATAGGTGGGTCATCTAATTGACTAATTAGAGTCAAGATACATAAGTAACCGAGCAATAAATACAGTTACAATTGGAATAATGCATTTGGTATGACTTGTGGACAGCAGCAAATTGGCATACAGATAATAAAAGAGTTAACAACAGATTAAGAACTAAGTCTGAGTCCAGTGGCATCTTTAAGACCAACAAAGTTTAATTCTGGGTACAAGTATGAACTGAGTGACTTAGCATGTGTAGTGAGATAAGAAACTGATATCTCTGTTAAGCCCTGGGGGTTCCATTGTCCTGAGTGTTGTAATAACTTGTAATGCAGATGTAATTCACACAGTCTCAAACTATCCGGCCTGACAGAGTTGAAATGAGAATAAAATAAAGTAGGGCTGCCAGTTCCAGGTTGGAAAATTCCTGGAGACTTAGGGGCAGAGCCTGGGGAGGGCAGTGTTTGGGAAAGGGAGGGACATCACTGGGGTACAAGGCCAATGAGACCACCCTCCAAAGCAGTCATTTTCTCCAGGGGAACTGATCCCTGTAGTATGGAAATCAATTGTAACTCTGGAAGGTTTCTAGACCCTGGGGAGGGGAGGGGCCTCAGTGGTCTGTCTGAAGTAGTGCAGGGAACTGATTTGGATTGGGACCATGGTGTGTGGAGAGGTCTGAATCCCCACTCTGCCATGGGAGTTTGCTGGGTGACTTTGAGCCAGTCACAGACTCTCAACCTAACCTATCTCACAGAGATGTCGTGAGGATAAAATGCAGGAGAGGAGAACAAAATGTGACATTTTGAATCTCCAGTGGGGATAAAGGGGGAGTATAAATGAAGTAAGTAAATAAATAAATGATCTTTGTGACCCAGGTTCAAATCCTCCTCTATGCCATGAAAGCTCACTGGGTGATTCTTATGCCAATCACATTCTCTTAGTCTAGCCTACTTCACAGGGATATTGTGACCCAGATAAAAGGGGGGGGGGGAGAGAAAGGTGTTGTAAGCCACTTTGAGCCCCATTGGGGAGAAAAGGAACATATAACTATCCAAGAATAATAATTAATAAATCTTGCTTTTGCTATGATCTCACCCTTTCAAGTGCCCAGAGTACTTCACAACCTGACAGAAACCAATTGTTGTTGTTCAGTCGCACAGTCGAGTCCGATTCTTCGCGACCCCATGGACCAGATCACGCCAGGCCTTCCGGTCTTCCGCCGTCCTCTGAAGTTTGCTCAATTTCATGTTCGTTGCATCTATGACACTGTCTAACCATCTCATCCTTTGCCGTCCCCGTCTTCTTTGACCTTCAATCTTTCCCAGCCTTCCAAACCAAACAGAAACCAATAGGGGACAGTGAATGCAGAGTCACAATGCACTCGTTAGTTACAAGCACAGTAAAGAGTGTCAGAAGCCTGAACATGTGAGTTCACCTCTAGAATAAATGCAATATTTCTCTGCTAGCTCTGTTTTTCAAAAAGGTAAAAGGCAAAAGACCTCCCTGGTGCTACTGGATAGGACACATTTAGGAGACAATTGTCATCTGAATTCAGTGGAAGTCAATGAGCTGAAACTAGGCTGCTTAGTATATTCGAGCTCTTTCTAATTGACAATTCACTCACCTTACTGCTGAATGAGGATTGTTTTCAGGTCCAAGCCACTTCTGTTTGTTTCAGAATATCTCCAAAACTGCTGATGACGCTGTAGCCATTTAAGTTCTGTGAAGTCGTCTCCGACAATCGCTAATTATTTGGATGCTCTTTGACATGAGCACAAAACATTCTATTAAGCACAAACAGCTAACCAAGTATACGTTTCTCCGATGTGTGCTAAAATTGTACTGGCTGGCCAGTAAAGCAAATCAAACTATAACGGTGCACATGCATACAGTAATGGATATCTAGCAGAGAAAGTAAATAAGGTTTGAATATGACAGAGATTTATTCTGGTCATTGTTCCTGTTGAGATTTACCGTATTGGACCTCCCTTCATTGTTCTCCACAAATCACTTTGGCAGCAATTCTTGCTTATAAATTAACAAAGTGATTTCATATACAAGTAATTTGTGATGCACCTGTTCAGTCATTATATCCCACACTTATTTTACTGTTTCCAGGCTCTGCTTTTTATATCCTCAACTAGGAAAAGGGGTGATTCCCTTATTCTCAATGTGTCATGGTGGTGCAAACTAATGTCAGGTCTTCTTAACAGTGTGGGGATATTAACATGGCTAGCTCTTGAGCAGGGCCAGAGACATCTTTACAGAACGTTGGCGAGAAACCACGTAGATAAATTATGTGGGACAAAATCAGTTCAGTTGTGAACATGTCACTTTAAATGGGTACATTGGTGATTTGCAGGGCTATTTTTGGGCAGGAACGCAGAGGAACGGAGTTCCGGCTGGCTCCCGAGTTGGCCACACCCACCAGGAATGCATTAGCATAATAGGCCACACCCAACAGCAGAAATTCATTAGGATTGGCTACATTAGGGGTGTGTGGCCTAACATGCAAAGGAGTTCCTGCTACAAAAAAAGCCCTGGGTTTTGACAACAAACAAGGTAAACAGAATAAGAAGCAAAAGGTGGGTGTGGCTGGATGACCACACTTCTGGTAACATGGGGGTGTGGCCTAATGTGCTAATGAGATGTGCTGTCAGGGTGTGGCCCAATATGCTAATGAGTTCCTGCTGTTGGGTGTGGCCTATTATGCTAATGAGTTCCTGCTGGGCTTTTTCTACAAAAAAAGCCCTGGTGATTTGTAATCAAAATCCTGTGCTTTTAAAAAACTAAGTAACTAGGGTTGCTCACCTCCAGGTGGGGCCTGTAGATCTCCTGGAATTGCTACTGTTCTCTGGACAACAGAGATCACTTCCCCTGGAGAAAAAAGGTGATTTGCAGAGGGGCCTCTGTGGCATTATACCCTGCTGAGCTCCCTCCTCTCCCCAAACCCCGCCCTCCCTACACTCCACTCCCAAAATCTTCAGGTATTTCCCACCCAGGAGTTGGCAACCCTACATAACAGGACATAGACCCCATGTTATCTGTTGTATGTTTTCCTGTAGGGCATATTGCAGCATGGGTGATTTGCAGGAAGACCGTGAGGGGAGTGAGGTAATACCCCCAGCACCACCATCGCTGGTCGGAATGGAGAGCCCTTCGCAGCTGCTGTTGGCTTTTCTTTTAAAGAAAAAAAGAATGCCCATATTCTGCCTAGACCACCCACATGTGAAAATATTGTTGTAGGTTTGCTCTTTGGTTATAGTGAATGGGCGTGGCCTAAAGTGGCACACCTGGTGAAAGCCAGGGCAGGTTCCCCCCCTCTGTATTGTTTATTGGATATCTTACACCGTTCTTTTATTTCAGTGTTCTCTAATTCTGTAATCCATCTTTATTGAATGCTGTGTTGTGTGTATTACACTGGTCAGCATTGCATTGTCTTCTTCTGCAAGCCTCCTGTAACCTCAGTGGGAAAGGTAAGCTATCAATGAAGTCAAATAACTAAATGCTAATATTCCTCAGTGGTTGCTAATGATTCCAACAGCTCTGTTAAGTATCCACGAGAGCTTGAAGAAGGTGACCACCCTCCCAGATGATGGCTGGGAGTGGGCATGTGTGCTGACAGGGATGCCAACCTCCAAGTGGGACCTGGGGATCCCCTGGAGTTACAACTCATTTCCAGACTACAGAGATCAGTTCCCCTGGAGAAAATGGATGCTTTGGAGGGCGAACTTTATGGCATTGTACATCATTGAGGTCCCTGTCCTCTCCAGGTTCCATCTCCAAATCTCCTCCAGGAGTTTCCCAACTTGGATCTGGCAACCCTACGCCCTCCCCATCCCCCGCCGGAGAACCTGGCAACCCTAGCTGGCATGTTTTGGTTTAGAAAGGAGGTCAAAAGAGCTGTCAGCTGGTTTGGAAGGCAGTATCTTTCTGAGGATCAGATGTGGGGCAACAGATTTGCTGCCCTATGGGAATGCATATTTGCCTCCACCTGCACTCTAGTATATTTGTAAATACAGGACATGTTAACAGCACTTTCTTCTCCAAACCAGCCTGGTAGCTCTGGCCTGGGATATATTACTCAGAGAAGTGGGCATTGTTATCTGTATGCAAATAAATATGTTAAATAAATCAATCACAGAAATGTGAATTAAAATGCTTAAATCAGTTCAGGTCCCTTAACAACATTTGCATGGTCCAGCAGAGGTCAACGCATGTCCAGTCCTCGATTTGAGAAACCCCACAGTAGCCAATCTTAATATAGGAAATACCCACTGAATAGACAATATTG